ATCTAATCAGGAGTTTGATTTTTGACGACTCTGCTGTTTGGCTTTTGTCCTCGTGCCATCTGTCAGATTTACTTTATTACACTCCCCTGTTGTCACTCATCTCATGAAACATGTTACTTGAGATCTTCTTTATGCGTGTCATACAGACAATCAGACCGTTTGTTATATTCTCCCGCGTTATACTTCAGAAGATGCAATGAGCTACGTTCGCTTCACAACATCTCCCTGGTCTTATTCCTAAGCAAACATAATGTGGCCAATCTAACTAGTGCAAATTAATGTTTTCCCTTCCCTCAAACCACCTCATCAATTGCATCATAATTTCAGTCACACAGTGTTCGGTCAAATTCTCCCCTAATCTGTATGACAATCATTCTTGTTGGAAAAATCTAAAACGGGATTTGAGAAACCCAACCATTAATTAGTCCGTTCACCGGTGGGTATGATGATAACTACCCCGGCTTTCGACACATTCGAGTGGTCTCATTGCATCAAACCAACTACATCGTCTATCGTGATATCAGAACTGATTCACGAATTCGGTATTAACGTTGTGCAAGAGCACATGTTTCTCATGTTTCACATCTACCATATTCACTGTGGGAAGCAGAAGGAGGACTAACTAAAGACACTACGGATAGTCGAAAGTTAGTTGTTCTGTTGAGTTGGAAAAGTCTGTAGCTTACAGTATATTTTGACTCTACGTTTTTGAGTACATTCGAATGCGAGGGGTCGGACATAATGAAACATGGTTAACCACTCGATATAGGTGCGCCAGGCGAGGGGCGATACGTGGCAGTTTCTGGGCAATAAACCACGAGCCAACAATACCGACCAAATAGAAGCCGTGCGGTTCAGCAAAAGGCTGTGTGACATCGAGATTACAAGCAGACTATTGGTGGAGATCTGTCTAACCATTGGCGTCGCTTTGTACATATTATTTAATCCCATTGATTTCTCTCGATAAGTTAATCGCTACTTTAGTGGCCTTCTTTATGTGTCTCGGTGATGGGAGATTCTTGCATACGATTCAGTGTTTCCTCTGGTATTGCCATTCATGATTCGTGCCTGTTACGATTAATGCACGGTCTCGGTATTCGGTTGGCAAGATGGATTGTCAAATTGTGCAAGATGAATTGCAGAAGTATTCTAAACGTTATAATGCATAGTTGACAAAAGCACTATCGAAGGGTTCACGCATAGATATGAAGAAGTTTCTTTCGTTCTACGGTCACCGGAATGAAATTGTTGTGTTCTATTGCAGCCCTTTGATTGAGCTCTTCCCCCTACCTGAAAATTATCTTTGTATACTCAATAAAAGGGAGTAAAATGAAAATGAAAAAAATGAATGAAAATGAATATCATTATGTCAAAATAACCGCCTAGTAACTCCACCTCCAACACTATAGGTTGTTCTTCCAGACATCTTCAAGGACTCCTTAGGAGTGGTTAAGAAAAGTCGTTGACGCAGTAGATGTATTGTTTTCCTAGGCCAGGACGAGGGTATCAGTCGTCTGATAACGATTTTTGAATTTGGGTCCACAAAATGGGTTCAAGACTGAGGGCGTAGACCTCGTCGCCGAACAGTTAAATTCCATGTGAGCGTGTTCACGTTTATTTCTGTGAGCCATTTCTCAGCCACTGCTATGCAATGATGCTAATTTATTTCTATTTTAAGTGCCCGAGGGTTTCCTTGAATAATACACCAACCACATCGATTATGATACGAGCCCTACGAAGATGTTTCAATCGAGAGGGTATTCCACGAGGACTGGTGATGGGCAATGGATTGTAGTTGTGTGAAGCGGAGATGAACTCATGGTCGAACTGCACCGGTTATACCACCATTTAGGAACAGCGTCCCTTGATGCGAGCTCGAGCGTTTCGGTTGATAAAATGGTGAAAATGGCGAATAGTGAGTGCAATGGTATCTGTAAACCCTTGTCGGAGTTGGAGATATTGGTGCACAATTTCCTGTTGCATTATAAAAACGCAGAGCGAACTACAACTGAACAGATGCCTCCAAATTGTTCAAATCATAGACCCTATATCCTCATCGTAGTGTGTAGACTCAAGTAGTGTAATTTACTCCAGGGAAAATGTCTTCCGATCACCACAGGGAATCATTACGTGGCAGATCCGAAAGGCTATGTGATAGATCTTGGATGCGATGCATGCAATGGTTAATCAGCGCAATGCAGACCAAATTCATTTCAGTGTCTGTTACTATCGGTGTAAATCCCACTGATGATTGCCACGGTGTCGGTCGCTGAACAACCAAGCACCGAGTTCGTCATTCGGTAGACCAATGTCCCAGACATGCCGTCTGAAGAGATTTCACTATTGGCTTCGTGATGAACAAGCAGCATAGCAAGTCAGATCAGCCAGACTCTTCTGTGGTGATCCCAGATTTAAGAGATAATACTAGTCAAGAAGATACTCGTTAGCGAACAACTGTAATTACCATTGCCTAATGACCACTTAGGAGCCAAAGTATTTGTGTCCAATCCCATTCGTCACGACCCATTCAGAAATACAATGACTGAAAGAGCATGAGTACTGATGAATTAACATCTACTGAACCAACACGGTTTCTTCTGTACATATTGGTTAATCCGCTTGATTTCTCCCAGTACTCTAATCCGTATCCTCTTTGGTTACGGTATCGGAAAATTCCCTTATAGAGTGCTCAACTCTGTCACTGTGCTCGATGCTCGATGTGCAGTGTTTGGGTTCTCTCAGGAAAAAAAAAACTAAAAATGTGAGGTACGCATAAAAATAGTCTTCACCATATATGGACATTTATATAATTGCATGGGGTTAGCAGAAGGCACTGGGTGGTTGAATCATTACCGAAGTCATTTGGGTATGCGTGAAAGAGGACGAGGGGTGGGGAATGTTAGCATAGAAACAGTTATGTAATGGAAACCGATTAGCAATGGTGGAAAGAGAGTTAGACATGGTTACGTAATACGAAAAAGATACAACCAGAAATGAATTCGAATAGAAGCAGAAAGTTAACCGAGTAAAAAAATGTTCAATCAAGTAGGTCAAAGAGAGTTACGTAATAAGAAAATGAGAAGAGCGAAGTCTTAACGACGACGTAAGAGATGATGGAAAGGAAAGGGGACGGTATTACCATGGTAATGACAACTACATAACAAAGGCCTTTTGCACGCATGGGTCAGGCTTTAAACGGCTAATGACAACCGCTTCAGCAAACCTAAGCATCCTTGGGCTTCGAACTTTGAGCACAACGCGGAAAGCTTTGCGTTAGTCGATGCAGTGTCCGGTATCCAGCAAATGTCGGGCCACTGCGCTAGCTGGAAGTATTCCTCCTCGAAGCGATAAGTTGTTCGGAACATGCCCACTCATTCTGGTCGACAGCCTGTGTTCAGTCCTTCTCACGTACCGCGAACCGCAAGTACATTGAAAAAGATAAATGCAATTGGAGGTGACCGAATCACTGAATCTGTCTATGTTTGACCGCATTAATGAGTTCATTGTTTTGTGAATCATGATCAGCTTCGCGGCAGGCTAGGTGGACTCAACTGTAGTACGAAGCCGACGACCAACCCGTGCAATTACATCGTTTCCTTTAAGTGGTACACCAATGAAAACTGGTTCATTTTCGACCTTAGTGTACGTTGGACTGCGAATGGTGAGCGTGCAATATTCCTCTATAAAACGCAGGGAATAACCGTTAGAGGACAAGGCAATCGTCAAATCTTTCAGTTCAGTTTCTATCACTTCCGGACTGCACAGGCGACGAACTCTGTAGACCAAGGTTCTTACCAATCCAATCTTGTACCGTAGAGGACGAAAACTTTGGAAATGTAAATACTGGCCCGTCCACTCACACTTGCGATAAACTGAGGTCAGGAGCGTACCATTCTTCAATCTTGTCAGTTGTAGGTCTAGGAATGGTAACTAGCCATTAGTCTCACATTCCAAAGTTCAATTCGTTAAACAAAACCATGGCATCTGTTTTGTTTGAGGTTATCAACAGTGTATCATCGACATAACGACGATGAAACACTGAGGAGATCACTTTGAAAGATCACTTTGAGATCACTTTCAATGTTGTTCTCAAATTTGGACATGAATCTATCAGATTGGTCCAAGTGGGCTTCCCATGGTAACTCCATCAAATCTGGCGGTAGATTGTGCCATTGAAGACAAACTGCACATTACAAACACACAATTTCAATAGGGCTTTCAAATTCAGTTGCTTGAAATCCAATTTCATTGGCACATTTACGAAATTCCTCCATGGCTTCCTCCACTGGTACGTTGGATAGATGGAGTGGCCATGGAAAGCTCACTTGATGAGATATACCTGATAGCGCTGTGGTGCTCACTTTTGAGCGGATATGGGTGCAAGTAATTTGCCTAAAATCATTCCAGCTCAGAAGAGATACCCTCCCTCCACATATTCGTCAGGAATATAAATCAGAAATTTTAAGTGGTGAACCCTCTAAAATCTGACAAGTTGTCTGAGCAGATTTCACTTTATCGAGGTTGCTTCTTTTGCATTATAAAATGCTAGTAACTAACTAGCCTCTACAGATGTCGCAAGTAAACAAAACACAACGGCAGATATGTCCCCACCGCCACGAAGCTGCACATGGATTTTGTGTCCATTTCATAGGCGATTTATGTTTGCACTCATTTCCACATTCATTTTCCATCTGCATCTCGAAGGCATGCAAGTCGACCTGAACGCATACCGGCCTAGCTTCCTGATTGGTCGGTTTGCGTTTTCTACAATGCATCCAGGACATTGGCTGTCATTTGAACCAATCAGATTGAAATCAACCAACATACTGATAAACGTGTGTACGCACACATCTTCGCACGTGCACGTAAAAGCCGGGCGTATGGATCTGGTCTGAATGAAACGAGTAATGCAATCGAATGCTGTCGTGCGGCGTGTGTAGCTGGACCGCATTGTAGCGTAAACTTGATTATTCCGGACGTTTTATTACACATTCGACGTGATGGGATCTACAGCATTTGTTTTGCCCCAGTTATTTTTTCTCATTGGTGCTCTGTTTCACCTGGTTAGTGCATTCCAAGTAACACCCACACAAGACCGAAAACCGTGCAGCTGCGATTTTTCAGACATCACCGGCACTTGTGTGTGCACTGATGTGAACAATGTGTCGAGCTTGGTCGATCTGTTTGCCACCTATTCGGACGTATTGTGCTCTTCTCAAGCCGGATTTATTCGTTCCGCCCATTTCATTCGCCTACCCGAACTGAAATCGATCGCTAAAAATCAGACATTTTTTGGTCCAAATTGTTCCGTGCAATACCTAACCAACTTAAGTCTGAGTTGGACAGGTCTCGTACAATCAGACGCAAACAGCTTCACTGATTTCCCCAATCTGGTCTGGTTGAACTTCTCCCATAACCCTCATTTGAACAGTTATGGAGATGGGGCGTTTACAACGTTTGGAGATCACCTGACCACCCTAATTCTTCGACATAATCCAGTTCGGTCGCTGACTCGTGATGTGTTTCGTAGATTGCGTGTACTGCAAAAACTGATCTTATCAGATAACAAAATTGGTTACATTGAATCTGGTGTGTTCTCGCGTGACTGTTGTGAGGATTTGCGTGAATTGCGACTGGATAATAACATTCTGACAGTGTTAGACAGTGACACATTATCAGGATTGAGACGTCTGGAAGTGCTGGATTTACGAAACAATCCGTTACAACAACTGGACCCAGGTGCGTTTGTACACACCGCAGCGACCCTGACTGAACTGTATATGAGTCATAGCGACTCGACACCGTTTGGAGGATTCGACAGCCCTCACCCAGATCTATTTGTGCAGCTCAGTCGCCTCACTGTTCTACAAATGGACCAACTGAAATTAAAGAATTTGTCCTCAGTGAATTTTCGCGGATTAGACAATTTACGCGCATTGTCACTACGTGGAAATCGTCTAATTCAATTGCCCGCTGATGTATTCTCACCTCTGAAACGATTGGAACAGTTGGATCTGTCAGCTAACTGGTTGGTTTGCATTGCATCTTCGTTAAACCCCACAGAACAATTCGATTTTTTGGCTGGTTTACCGTTAAAATGGATTGACCTCTCATGGAATCGACTGACTCATCTGAATCAGCTGACCGTCCGTAGTTTGGGTTTGTTTGAACCTGGTCCTCTAGACGGAACACGAGTTACGCTCAATCTGACCGCGAATCCTTGGCAGAATATCGATGATGACGCATTTTGTGGTCCACCAGCAACTCGTATCATACGACCGACTGACTTGATCATTGGTCCAGTCCCGTCAACCCCATTTGGTGCGTGGCGCACATCATTGGGTCTTTGGTTTGCTCGAGCTCAATGGCCAAATGGACCACTGGCACTGGTCGGTCCGAAATCGCGTGTTTTTGGACTTATGTTGAATGATGAAATGACCACGGAACGGCTGACTAAATTATCGGATGACGAACCCAGTTTAGTTAAATTTGTTTACGCCCTGTCTGGATCCGATGAGTCGGAACAGCGTTGTCAACAGCTCCGTATGCCTAAACGTTTCCGACGTACTCCAAACGATACGACGGCCGTAGTGCCCTCCGAGTTGAACGAGATTAGACGACCCACGCCCATTTCTATTGCCTACTCGCTCTCGTCCTACTGTCCACGGTTGCCAATTCAAAAGCTGGAAGATTGGGAGTTGGGCTATTTGAAAGTGACCGAACTGATCGATTCGTACGATGCATTGACCAAATCTCCATTGCGAGCAACTGAACGCGGTTCTCGACTCTACCTTCTTGTGATAGTTGGTGTTTGTATCACTTTTCTGTTGATTGCGTTAACCGTGATCATGTGCTATCGGGCCTGGTCACGTCGAACATCGCAGAAATGTGCCGGTCACGACTTCGAGGGCTGTCCAACCGGATTGACTTTGGAGGGTCCGACTGAGAAACATCTGCTTCTTCGGAACCAAGCAATGCCAAACAATAATAATAATAATAATCCCACGATTTTAGATGCGCCCGCAAATGCACCCAACACAGATAACGGAACCAACCATCACCAGTATCAGAACAATCATTTGAACACAACTGGGAAACAACATTCACCTCGGTCGATTGAACCTCGCACTGTAACTACGGGACCGAATGAGTCGTTTGAAGTGACAAACAATTCCTGTTCTGCATCACCTAATCCGGCGGAGACACCGGCTCCGGATATTGGTACTGTGATCCCGATAACTCGGGCACATCTACGAAGTGGTCGTCCCAAAAGTGATTCGGATGCAAACGAGATTGACACTAGTCACAAGCTAACCGCTTTTGGAGTGGTTTAACACAGACAACGCAGTAGCTCCTTGTTCCCATCTCGCCCCCCCCCCACAAGCCTAAGCCACCTCCGCTAACACAAGGCTGCAGTTACTTCTCATCTCAACCCTCAATTTGATTTGTTAGGTCTTGATCCCGAGTGTTGTCTGCCATGGACCACGGATTTGTCCATCTTCCCTTGTAAATATTTATTCGTATATACATACCCAAACGTACACAGAGAACACGGGACCTCGAGTAGTACATTGTCAGGTGCCAGTCTTGTCAATCCTACGAAATCACGTGATCATTTTTGTATCCTGCGAACCATTGTGCCCACATGCAATCACATCTGTCTGTGCCGCGGGTTTTGCAAATTCCAGTTCTCCTCTGTCATTCCCCACACCATTTGTGCAACTTTGTATGTAGGAAGAGATGAAAACAAATCAACCACACCACAGAATTTGCCACTGCCCTCCTCTCCAATTTTCCCATCCTGTACTTTTCATATCCGCTCACTTACTTCCCAGCACCCAAATACCCACCCGTTCCAGCATCTCATTTCAACTTGGTGCGCAGACGGGAGGGGACAATAATGTGATACATACACACCTGATTGCATCGTTTTGATCACGGACAAAGTGGAGAATTCTTTCACCCCGTCAGACGGAAAACACGTAATTGTACATACCTATATGCATTCATATACACACACATATATAAATATGAAGGTATACTTTGATCTTTTACTTGTTTCTATTCTTCTCGCAGTGAGAAAGATAAGGCTGCAAATTTTTGCTTCAAGTAAGTCATTCCTCTGAAAGTTCAGCCAACTGGTAGGTCGGTAGGTCGATCGCTTGGCCGTCCGACCAACAGTCATCGCCCCAATGCCTAGATTCGTTTAACGGCTGTTTTAATAAGGCGGCCATTAAGTATATGTGATACTTGAGATGAGCTTTTGGCTTAATTGGTGATGTGCATGAGTGCAGACCTGTTTTGATAATGCACTTATGGTTTGTAATGACAGTGTTTTGGTGTTAGTCTTTATTTCATATGATGTCATTCCAGTTTCCCGTAATATTCCGAGTACGACGTTTTCGCGCATGTCTGTAACTGTGAGCTACAGTACAGTACAACCAAAGCGTGTGTGTGTACGAGAGCCGAAACATCGATCATTTTGGGCAACATTCAATTGTTTCAATTTCGATGACGACGTGCGCTCATGTGAGAGAAAGAAATAATCTTGACCAAAGTTAAATGTTTGTGTCCCAAACAAATTGCAGTGTTAAGGTTCTGCTACTCCAACTAGTCTTCTCAGTATTGTGTAGAGTCTAATCGCCCGGGTAGCGAGCTTGCTTACTGCCAATGGAGTCCTGGAGCACGGTTTGTATTTTGTTTGTTAGGTGCACGGACGAAGGTTATTCGGAAATCGACTGTCTGAACACCAGTTGGTTAAAAGTGCTGTGTGGTGTGAGTTAAAAGTGATTTGCATCAAGCCCAAGTGAGTGGTTAGTCTTTCAGTCCGTTCCGCTAGTCTCGTGCAACCTGGAGTTAAATCAATTTTATTCACCTCGCGTTTATTTTGTCAGTAGATTCTACAGAGTTACAATTCGACCTCTTAGTGATTTGAATGTTCTGTCTGATTGGAGATGATCAAATCGTGGGGTAATACCCCTTGGCTTGAAAAGCTCGTTGTTGTACTGGTCTAGGTATCATCTAAGTGGAGTCTTACGCTTTGCACTCACGGCATGCGCTTTGCACTTTCAAAGTTTAAAATGCTGCTCCAAGATTGGGTTGGCTCAGTCCCCAGCCTCACCCTGACCGGGGAAGTTGTAGAGAAAGTAGATAATTTTGCTACTGGGGCAGCTATATCTCACCTGGCGGACGCATCACAGATGAAGTGTCGGCTCCCATACACAAAGCTCATTTGGCATTTGCCAACTTGAGACATCTATGGCCCCGTCGCGACATCCTGTTGTCTGTGAAGGGTCGAGTATATGCTGCAGCAGTTCAGCCAGTTCTACTTTACGGCGCAGAAACTTGGCCATTACGAGAACAGGATAAAAATAGATTATCGGTGTTCGAACACCGCTGTCTACGTCGCATTGCACGAGTCTGGTGGGGAAACCGGACGAGCAATGCCGAGGTTAGGCGTAGACTTTTAGGCAATCGCGGTCGTCCACTGGAGCAAGTGATCGACCTCCATTGATTACGTCGGTTGGGGCACGTGCTACACATGTCACCAAATAGGTTGCCACAGCGAGCGATGTTTGCCGAGGCAGATAGCGGTTGGAAAAAGGTCAATGGTGGCCAAACGAAGACCTGGAATGAGGGTATGGAAACCCTAACCAGGGGACTAGATCACGTAGGTTCCGTTAGGCTCGCTGGCTGGGTTGTCCATTTGGTTGTCCATTTGGACGAAGGGGTCAGTCAGTTAGTCAGACAGAAAGTACAATAACATTGGAGGTGTGGCTCAGCTGGATGATTTCGATGAGTTTATCATAGAATTCGACTGCAAAAGCAGCTAATGCGGAGCAGGCCATCTGGAGTTGCTTCCCTTCCGAAAATGACTGAACCCCGGAGTCCTATTGCTCATAAAAGAATTCAATCTGCCACTGAAGCTTCAGCTTGATCATTCAGTGCAAGCCTATTGAACCAGCCGCATCCTCTCCAGATATGCGACGGAAATACCTTGACATACCTGACGGAATGAATGGACTAATGCTTATAGGATCTCGAATTCACGTCTCTGATACGCAGTAAACACAGATCGCTGGCGATTATGTTGTACGTGCAAGACAAGTTTGTTGACCAACTTACGTAAAAGTCCTTAGGTCGATGGTTCCCAGATCCAAAGGTTGACGAGTTTTCAGAATCCACAACCTATCCACTGATGAACTACTTACAACGGTGTTCGGCCATGGGCCTTGGCAAGTGGTAAGTTGTGCGAAGGAACTTTGCGAACCCGAAAGTGGGGCAAATGGGTAGATTTGGATACAGAATACAGAAAATTAAACAAAGTTTTTTTTCTACAACGCATCATGGCAGTTCGGGTTTCTGGGTCACTATCTGATCCTTTCGGTGTAGCCCGAGGAGTTCCACAGGGGTCCCTGCCAGGCCCTCAACTTTTTCTATTTTTCATAAATGATCTAACGAACATTCTGGGGCCACAAACGTTTATGTTTGCAGACGATGCAAAACTAATGGAAACTGACAGAAACTGAGAACTCACTGGCACCCCAGAGAACACTCGACGCTGCTTATCAGTGGTCGATCGAAAACGACATCGAATTCAATGCATCAAAATGTACGGTCGCAACCCTTCGCTACAAAACTCGGTCTCCATACTACCTGGGATATCAACAAACTCCGAATGAGAAGGATCTCGGTGTTACTGTGAAAGACGACATAAGTCGCTCTTCAAACTGCTGCAAGGCGTCGTCCACCGCTGCAAGGCAGGCTGGTTTCCTAAAGCGATTATTTACAAATTCAAACCTATACTGTTCCCACGTTTGTTATTAGCCGATATGCTTAGGTTGCCGGTTTTCCACCACTGAGCAGCAGGTCCTCGTGACTATGGGGTTCGCCCCTTCTGTTGTTCATCACACTAAGGTGTTTACTATTTTTGATTTCTATCCCACATAGAGTATACTATTTAGGGGTGGAATCCATGGCTGCAATGCGATACTAAGATTCTGGAACGTTCACAAAGAATGGCCACCAAAATGATCAAGCAACTGCATTCCAAGACTTATGTGGAAAGACTGGAACCACGGGTTGTACTCCTCTCAGTATCACCGAATTCGAGATTTGGTTTTGGTGTATTAAATAATGCAGAACCCTGACCACCCATGTCATTCACTGTTCGACAAGTCGCATAACACTCATTCGGTTTATTACTCCAAAAGTGTCGAGTGGAATGCAGGTGTCATTCGTTTGCCCTCAGTGTGCAGTATTTGAAATTTTCTAACATCGCACGTTGTTCCTGTCCCCACAGTTGATTCTTTCAAGCAAAAAACGGACAAAACTTTGCCAAGTCTTAAATTTCGACATCCGTGGCAGTGCGCGAAACAAATTAAAAATTAGTGGCATTCATTATATTTTAGTGTTCTATTGGAGCTAAATCATGTGGGACAAAAAAGCAAACACCTGTAAGTAATTCCAAAACTTTGAATTCGACAATTCCATCATAATTAGCATCAAACAGTGAAATACAGTGAAGCGAACTTCACTGATCGCTGATAAAAGAACACTATGTACACAAATCAAGTGATGAAGTACAAGACGCAGAGGGATTGGGTCTAATTGGAGGGCAGCAAACAAAGTGAACCTCTATGTTCAACACACAGAGTACGCAATCCAAGTGTGCATTCATAGTTTTTCAAGAATTTTGACCTGACAGGAAATGACAACAAGGACGCAACTGCTGTCTGTCAGTTGACATCTCCTTCAGTGTCTCCAACCAACCAGTTGCAGAGTCTTTCGGACCCTAACCTGGAAGACGGGAGACACTGATTCTACCTAATCGTTCTGTGCATTTCTTCATGCCTTGTTTCCACGTCCTCTGTGGACCTCCACGTGGTTTCTTCCAACCTGCAGCAGCAAATGCGAATAAGGCGCGGTGCGGTAGACGATGGCTGGACACACGCAATACGTGTCCCAACCAGCGAAGCCGACTAATCTGAATTCGATGGGACAACGAATTCTTCATCGAATCAATACCAAATAAGCAACGCCCTGCTTCAGAGTTGCTTACACCTTCACTCCATACAACCCGCGCCAAACTACGTAAACATCGGCAGTCGAATACTTCAAGACGACGAATATCTTTGATGCGCAAATCTAGGGTCTCGCAAGCATAAAGCAGAACTGAACGCACTCTGGTGAAGTGTTCACGACCTTTCAGTTTCAACGAAAAATCGCGTCTGCACCAGAGGTGTTTCAGTCCTGCGAAAGCTGCTCGAGACTTGCAAATGCGGGCGGTCACTTCACTGACTATCCTACCGTCATTTGTAACGCAGCTACCTAA